CCTCTTTTCTATTAGAGGATGGGTATGTGTTTAGAGGTGTTCAGTTGTGTATACCAGATTGCAGCCTTCGTTTGAAATTGATTGAGGAGTTTCATGGTGAAGGTCATGTTGGGCGAGATCGTACTTTGGCTTTGATTAGTGCTTCATTTTTCTGGCCTACTATGCGTCGTGAAGTGGAGAAGTTTGTCTCACGATGCAGGGTGTGCCACATGGCAAAGGGGAAAAACACAAACAGTGGTCTTTATCGATCATTACCAGTGCCTTCAGCTCCGTGGACTGATATTAGCATGGATTTTGTCCTGGGTTTACCGCGCACACAACGTGGTAATGATTCCATCTTTGTGGTGGTAGATCGTTTTTCTAAAATGGTGCACTTCATTTCCTGCAAGCACACTATTGATGCTGTCAAGGTTTCTCAGCTATTTTTCAGAGAGATTTATCGGTTGCATGGGTTGCTAGTTTCAGTCCGTTTCAGGTTGTGTATAGTATTCTGCCCTGCAGCCCTGTTGATTTATTGACTCTGCTCTCGAAGACTCGGCTGCATGGGACAGCTGTTGACTTTGTTCGTAGTTTGCAATAAGTTCACGAGGAAACACGAGCTAATCTGCTAGAGTCCAACCATAAGTATAAAGAGGCGGCCGATTGGCATCGACGTCCTGTTGAGTTTGACGTTGGGGATTATGCTTGGGCGGTACTGACTAAGGATCGAGTGCCATCTCATGAGCATTCGAAGTTATCACCTCGTACCATTGGTCCAGTGGAAATTGTGGAGAAGATCAACCCCAACGCCTATCGCCTTCGACTTCCTTCCCATATACGGACTTCTGATGTGTTTAATGTAAAGCATCTTTTGCCATACCATGGAGACAACGTGGGAGATAGTGCTACCGGTTCTGATTCGAGGGTGAATCCCATTGATCCCGGGGAGAATGATGAAGTTTATGTGGAGGAACAGGCATTGGCATACATGGAACGGTTGGATGGTCGACTTTCAAAGAAATTGATGTAACTTTTGCGTTTGGTATCCGTTTTGGGCCCATAACCCCATTTCGGAAAGGTAGCGAGCGTTTCGGATTGAACTCACCGTTTCGCCGTGACGTACGAGGGTTTTTGAGCATTTGAAGTCGCTTAGTGTGTCAAAACAGAACTTTAAGTTTTTGTGTTATTTATTTTCAGCATTTGTTATTTCCATTTTGTAGCCCAACCCATTTTGGGACTGCTGGCCCAGTAGGTTATCTTTTCTTTCATATTTAAGACGCTACAAGACGCCTCCTAGGATTTTCTTGGTTGTTCATGAAATAATAAAAGTTTGTTTCTGAATTCAATCCGTTTGGTTATTGTTGTCGTGTGTTTGTAGATTCAATCTACATCAGAAATTAATGGCTGCCAAAAATTCACAAAAGAAGAGGTTAAGATGGTAACGAGATCTTTTGATTTCATGGGCATAAATTAGTATACTGCTTACTATATGTATGATCCACAAAGAAATAAGATAGCCCCCCTTGGCTACCGGCAGGATTGGAATGTTGGATATGCTAGTAAGATTCTCTCTTTTGACATTGAAATCAACGTCTAAATTTACTGAATAACATTACCTCATATGTTGCCTTTCCAGATGATTGTCATGGAGTGCCAATCGGTCCAAGGGTAACTCAGCTGAAACCATGCTGCTAATAACAAGCTCACTGTGAATTTGTTATAATTAGGCACAATCTTATTGGCTCTACATTGTACCATGGGGTCTGTACAAAGCTGTTAACTACATTAAAGAGACTTGTGGAAATCCTACCATGATTTTGGCTGAGAATTGTACATTATGTATGCATTCTATATTCAAGGAAGTTTTATGCTTAGGTGAAAAATTATCGAGTATCTAAATGTTGAATCATTTTCACATGATTGGCAGGAATGGATGATCTGGGAAAGTGTTGCATGTTCTAAGGATTTACATGAGACCACAAGGATCAACTACTAAAAGAGCTATTTAGCAGAATTGAAGAAACAAGCAATGAGGGAGCCAATGTGATCAGCTACTTCCAGTGGACATTGCTTTCTAATTTCGAAAAGAGACTCAGGTACACATCAAGGTCCGTCATTGTCTATATTGATTTCAAAACCCTCAAGAGATACCCAAAGATGTCCACCTACTGGTTCCGACGGCTGCTATACCGAAGCCAGCATTAAGCAAAAGAATGGTTCTCTCTATCTTTCAATATTGCCATCTGCCATCTTTCCATTCGAATTTAAAGCTGCCACATGAATTTCACTGGAAGGTACGAGGAACAAAATTTAACTTGTTTTTATTCATTAATATTGCCCCGTCTACCTTACATAACATGGTGTGTTCTCGGTGTATGACATTGGTAACCCCTAAATATTTATCGTAAAAGCTCATTATTAACACAAACTGATAGTTCCCTTCTCTTACTTCAGAAACAAGATTTGAAGTAACGATCAAAGTATTTTACAGTGGACCATAGCAATTACTGACTCTTAAGTTTCCATCTTCAAAATGTCTAATCTTAGTCTTGTTTAGAGTTCTCAAGCCTTTGTAGGTGTTTATTTTGTAAGTATACTTTGTGCTCATTTGGTAAGATAGACTTTGTAGTATTGTCAAATATTACTAAATAATAAACAATATCATTTTCAATAAGTACATGTGAGTTTTGTACCATAAATTTTTTAACTAGAATGCACTCAAAAATTTAGTTTTTTTTAGATTGTCTTTTTTCTCGAGAGTTTATGAGCTATGGATGACTAGACTTTATCAGGGCTGAACTGATGAACCAAATGGCCAATGCTTTCCAGAGGAGGTGTGAATATTTGCCAGTAAAATTACATACTTCTTTGCTGATTAGATTTTCCTGATAAAAATACTTCCTTTTTACAAAATAGAAGATTCTTCATTAGCTCTATTAACTTAGCCCAGAACTCATTCTCTCTGGGTAGTTAATGCAATAATGAATATCTACTTGGATTCGTTCTCCATCGGAACCTAAAAGTATAGTTCATTGTTGGTTAAATGGTTTATTTATAGGTCCTCTCGTATCTTAAATGCTTTTTTGGGCTGATTTCCATAACATTTTCTCGGCAGTGCTCCAGCATCTTTCTTGCTAAAGATCAAGATGATTGCTTGGATGAATTTGAAATTTATGTCTTTTATTCACTTCAAAACTAACCTACTCCCTACTAATTATCTTCTTCCTTGCTTCTTGTTCTGCTATGGGGGATTTTGGACTTGCTAAAACTTTTAAAGAAGATTATTTAGCTTCTTCAATAAGTGCTTGCTTAGCATACTCATTAATATACTTTTCCCCATCGACGTTAATAATAATTAATGGATGAAGTATGAAAAGATACCATGTTTCCTTGTGTTTTCTGTTCATTCGTTCTATTTTAGTTAATGATAATAGAATTTATGAATTTATGCTAGCATATCAACCAGTGATTCTATATGACCTTTGCTTCAATATGAGTGGCCGGTATGCAATGAAACTCTTTTAGAGGGAGGGTTTGCAAGATCTATTAAAGTTAAAGGTCAAATATGGTTTCACTATGTTCTTTGGTTCTCTTTCTATTTTGATACAATAACAGAAACAACAAACTAATCCTTAGTTCCTATCAAAATCGGTTGACAGCCTTGAGCATTCAATTTCTTTCAAAAGTTTATTGCAGATTTATCCATAGTAGTTGATACATGCAACATATTCTTTTCTCCTTCAATAAAACATGGAGTAATGGAAAATCTATTATTTAACTCCAATTAAACTTGTCAAAAACAAAATTTAGTGCCAATTTATTTTTCCCCCTAAATATCTGCAATCAGCTTATCCAAAGAAAATATCTATCAAAATTAGCTACTCGATAATGGAACTTATCCAAAAATCATGTAAAGTCCTTCATGGGTTCTGCAGATCCTATTGAGTTTGTGAGTTATGTATAATATTAGTCATTCTTGCAAATGAGAATTGGAAAATATGTCAACGAGCTTCCTAATTTTTCATTTATTGATTATGATGATATGTCATATTATTTTCTTATTTAAATTGAAAAAGAAAAGTATGTTCATCATGTCTCTAAAATTTCATATGATAATTGATGAGTGCAAATTGTGCACTTATTTAGACCATTTTATTAAGTTTTTATGTCGTCAATTTATTAATTTCTACTTAATTTGAGTTAATTTTAGTTTGTTTTTAGTGATGGACTCGTTCAGAGCAAATGGAAAGGATGAAGAACAAATTGGCTAGTGGATGCAATATTGAAGAACAAATTCAACACTTGAAAAATTGAAGAGGACGTTGATTGCACAATGGAGGAACTCAAAAACTGAAATATATTATATTGAAAGATTGAGGACTTGATGATTAATATTACATTAAAGGCTTTGAATTGGAGTCAAATTTGGTGGCTATGGAATTATTATATAAAGATGTACACGCAGGAGGAATTAGGGAGAGATGGGAGTCCTTTCGTGAGTCAACCATTGTGGCTGCTAGAATTTTCTTTTGATATATATATACACGTATATACTGAAGAGAAGGAAGCAGCCAATTTTAATATATATTTTTCCACACACCATATTATAGAGAAGCACGAAACTTTTGGCAGGAATTCGATATTTTTTGGCACACATTTTGAGGTGGCAAGAGGTGATTGACACAGATAGGGGGTACGGCTGTTGGGAGAATTAATTGGAGGGAGCTGGGGATTTCTTTTTCTGCCAGTAATAGAGACGCACAGAAAACCAAGGGTGAGGAAATACTATATTTTATACACACTTCGGAGGCTGAAATTGTAAAAACCGAGAGAGAGCAAAAAGGAGGCAGAATATATACACGCATACACGGCCAAAGATGGCAACACGCGACGGCTTTACTTTTACAAATTATTCACGTTCCGTCCATTTTCAGTGATGCCTTCCATAATTTCTTACATACACGGCCAGAGATGGCAACACGCGACGGATTTACTTTTACAAATTATTCACGTTCCGTCCATTCTCAGTGATGCCTTCCATAATTTCTTGTTTTTCTCTCATTACTATGCGTA